TCACAGCAAAAACTGTACTAGTAGTGTTAATTTAAAGTCACGGGCAGAATATTTAGAGAGCGAGAGGCATAACTGGGTTGTTAAAATGCGACTGCCCCTACTAGAGACATTAGCACAAAGCCCTGGCTTTATTAGGCATAACCCATTTCCATGGCAGACGAGAGGAAAATGTATGCTGCACTAACACAAAAGTCTTGATTCGCCTGAGGCCCACCTCCTCCCCTCCTGCTATCTGTTTCTTCTTTTTCTACTCTCCCTCACTATGCTCACTCCCTCTCTCTCTCTGGCATTCAGTTTAATAAGTTAGCGTGAATAGCTGTGACCGAATATAATGCCTAAGACCTGCTAGAAGGCTATAAATGTAGCCCTAATGGCTAAACCATTATGGCATTAGGTACAGGCTGCTGCAGTGAATGTGTTGCTGCAGGAAAACGGAGGTGGTGGAAGGTGGATGAAGAGCTCTCCTTCCATTAGCTGATTGAATTGGAACCCATTCCTGTGGGCTGGGAATTGTTTGCCGCACATCAAACAAAACAGAGATGTAAACACCTTTGTCAGTGGGCACAGCAAAGTGTCATATGAAAGGAATGTCCCATGAAGAAGACTCTCCAGCAGTAAGACGCAGGTAGCGTATGCTAATAGACCTGGTGTCTTCAGTACATTTGTCAGTATCGGCCCTGTTTTGTTTCATACACCATATGTTTTTCATGAGCCAGAGTGAAGGCCTAATGGACCATGGCGTGCTACAGCAGGCAACACATCTCACATTAGGATCTAACATTTACCCAAGTGCAATGTCAGATTTAATAAATGATATATATACTTGTTCTGGCTGAGTCGCTGAGAGTGTCAGGAGAAGTGGTAGGAGGATGAGAGGTTTTTTTTTTGGTTTTTTTTTCACAAAACCTTAAGTGTTCCTTGTCTTTGAAACCAGGTCAGTGGCCAAGATGTTTCTGCACTGAGAGTTTGGCTAGGAGTGTTGCAGTGCATAGTTAAACATAGTACAGAATGGAAAATGCAATGTCTGTGTTGCGGACAAAAGTTCATAGTGTGGTCTGAGAGAAAGACATGCACTGGGAGTAAGACAAGCAGGATGTAGCTAATGTAACTTTATTTTATTGTTCTTTTCCGAGTCAATAAATCAGAAGGTGATTTGGTTACATACAAGTCTCAACAGATGGGTCTTGAGTTGCTTTTTAAAGGTGTGAAAAGTGTACAAGGATCTTAAGTCAAAAAGGCAACAGCTTCAAAGATTAAGATCCATTGAAAGTTATTATCAGAAACTTGAAGTTTAGAATGAATTTGATGGATTGTTAAAAATTCAGAAGAGGAGGATGAAAAGAGTTAAATTGCTATGATATTTACAAGAAATAATGTAGACGGGTATAGATAGAAAAGTGATGTACAGTTCAATCTTGGCTGGAGAGATACAAATCTTGAGTTGTGCCATGTTTCCAAGGGTGTAAAAAATCTGTGTTCTTTCAATTCACAGTCTGGTCCATGGTGAGATTTCTTTCAGAGGATTGAAGCGAAAAGGGAAGAGACACAAGAGATTGTCTAAAGGACAAGACTGGGTGAAACAGACACATTTTTGTTTGCTCTGCATTAAGCTGTGTTAAAAGAAAAAAGAGTGAAGGCAGTTATTTAAAACCAACACCAGTCAGATTTCCAATTTGACAAAAAACATCTGTTTGTGGAGGAAGCTTGATTTGAAGGGGAAACAAAGTGAGTCTTGTCAGAGTGAGGAGGAAAATGCAGCCCACACATGCGGCTTGATGAAGTCAAATACAGATTTGGAATGATGAGGGAACAGCGCAGTCAGAATTAGATGCAAACACCATATGGAAGTGCAAAGAAAATATATGTCCTCTTCATTTCTGTTTTCAATCCAAGAGAAAGCTAACGGTGCAAACATTACTTTGCCCTTGTGTGTTTGACTGCTAAATGTTTTAGCTCACGCAATAATTATGCACTTTGGGCGTGTGATGTGGAGTTTGACAAAGCACTGCTCGCCACAGGTTTTTGTTGTTATTGCAGCTCTGCCAGGCATCTGCATTTCAGAGACCTGCCACCTTTCAGAGATAACTACTCCCCACATGATCCCTGTTGATGGCACTGGCTGCACTGACTCCACAGCCTGAGTGACATAGAACTGCACTCAGATTCTGTTTTATTGTGTCAAATGATAGGCATCACAAAATATATATTTATTCAGATTCTCTATGATTAGGGAAACCGTTTGTATGAAATCGGGTCTGAGCTTTATGATAAATTTACTTGACAAATGTTATCACTGAGCGAGCTTCCTGTTTGCAGCTTAGAAGTATATTCAGAGGAGAAGTGGCTGAGGGTATGCCCATGCATTAATGAGTATACACTTGATATATTTAGGACATCATCTTAAGGTTCGGCTGCAACCCTTTTTTTGCACAACGCACATTTTGGATGTCTAAAACATTTGCCATCGCTTGTCTTTATGTCCACCTCCTCCTCTGACAGTGAAGACTTAATGAGGGGAATAAACATGAATATATACATAGGAGAGGATGTTCATCCTTTAGTCAAAGTTCATTCCTGTACTAGCAATGCAAAGATGTTCTTTAATAATACATCCAACAAAACACTCTCTGCTAGCACTACACTGATGTTGTTTGTTATTGTCACATTATATTCATCTGAAACCAGTTTAATTTGGAGGCTAATTGGTTAGTTTATACTGGTATTGGTACTGATACTGTTATCTGTATAGGAAACATTTTGACTGAATACTTTTCTCTCTTTATATCTACAAAACTGTAAAGTCATAACTAATGTTTTTTGGTGCTGAATCACAATGATCTACCATACATATTAGGTTTTTGGGAGGCTAACTGGTTATGGAATCAGATAATTGCATCAACTGACAGATAGTCATAAATACAAAATTCCACATTTTATACAGTATTGAAGGCAGATATGTACAGTGGTACCTGTACTGTTATCAATATCAGAACAGCTCTACTAAATATGTATCTGTATATAACTACATAACCATAACTGTTGTAATTTGTTATTGCCGCCCATATATGTAACTGTTGATGTTTTGGGTTGAATTAGTGATGGTATCAGATTTGAGCATTAACTGGCATTGTCACCGATATCTGAATACACTTTCTCTGCGTTATCAGCGGCCATACCAACACTGGTATTTTCAAGAACATCTTTGCTAAACTATTTATGCCCATTTAAGACTCCATAGCCATAACAGGTGATATATGTTCTATTGTTAACCTGTAACCAGGTGGCTACTTGATTACTAAAGTATCACATATAAAACTGATACTGGTATTAGTTTCTGGTTCTGTACCAGTGCAGCACTGCTATTTGAACTGGTAATGTATCAGTACTGATTCCGCTTTCTGTATTGATACTATATCAGTGCCAATACTGCACTCCGTATTTGAACAACTGTATCAAATACTTACATATTTGCATTTATATGACTCCGTAGTGATACATATGGATGAAGCCTGGGTGATGTCCTCCATCTGTTACGGGAGGGGGCTCCGGAGGCTCATCGGCAGCAGCCGCCATGTTGGAAATGCTGTCTCAGCCTAACTTTAAATCAATCAAATGACAGGCTGAGAGTTGGAGCTGAGGCGGGTTTTAAGCCTCCTGATAAACCGTTACATCGCACCCACCTGTCAATCATGTCAGCTACGCGCCTAACTATGGATAACACCTATTGTTTTCAAAATCAAAACAGAGCCGTTTAAAAAAGAATCACCCCCGCACAGTCTGTGCCCATGATGATAATAACTTATCAGACCTATTTCATTTTTTGTACCAGGCTTTATTTCTACTGTAAAAACTGGCTTTTTTGCCTGTCCGTGACCTCCCGTGTTCCTGGATCCAGCCTCAAGCAGACACTCAATGAACTGCAGGATTTTGCACCTCTGCATTTGGCTTCCCTTTTCAGTAACGGAGGTTGCCGCTTTATTGTTGTTTGTTATTGTCAAATGATGAAGTTACCACAGTATCATATACTATATAGAGACTGGTATCTTTTATATCTTTTATTTCTTTTAAAGGTATTTTTTGTCTATTAGGAAATGGTGCAGGAAAAAGAATTCATGTCATGACCAAATATGTAAATGCATTTCATCAATGAGAGTGTATCCAGTGTTACCAGCGTTTCCATGACGGATCCTGTTTGCAGCAGGTGTAGATCTGTAAGACTGTATAAAGGTGAGTTTCAGACTGTGGTACCTTGGGGAGAGACAGGTGCTTCAAGTAAAGGAGCCCCAATAAAACAGCAGGTTTGAATCATTAATCAGATAAAGGCCATGAACACATATTCATATTAGAACAAGACGGGCCTTAAGGTTGCAGTTGATAAGATGTGCGTGATTCCTCATGGGAAAAGCTAATTAAGGGAAAGTCTTTGGGGTCTCACTCAGTCATCTGTTCTCAAACTGAATGTAGTCAGGCAGTGGCCCCTACGGGCTACCATCTGTAAAACAAAGCTGCTACTCTACCTCTGCAAAGCCACGTTGTATTTTTCTGTTGTTGTAGGGGCTGAGGAGTCAGACTCCCTTTTTTTTTTTTTTTTTGCCTTGCATTGTAGAATACAAATGGGTCTCTGTAAAACTGTGCTGCAAATAGTGAGTGAGTCAGGAAACATGCTGCAGGTCATGTGTGAAGACACTCTGGCACGCACAGGCACACATGCGGATAGACACACACAGACACACGCACATGACACAAACACTGACACAAAAAGGCACTCACACACATTTGACCGATCTCGCCTCACCTCCTCGGCAGCTCCTTCAGGAACGTCGCTGAATACTGACCACTTACTTTGACTCCATTTTAGCCCTTTAACTCTTGCCGGACCATTCAAAAGAAACGCAGTCGGAGTTGTCCTCGGATCGTGGGATGTGAGTGGTGTTGTGTCTGTGGGTGACAGAGGGAGGGAGGGAGGGAGGGGGGGCGGTGGGTGCTGTGCTCTGCTTTGCTTTGCTGTGCTCAGTGCAGGACGCAGGAAGACAGTCGCTCTCCAAGGTGCTGGAAGTCGGAGCGCTTCCTTCTCTGCTGATGATGAATGCGACCTCTGCTGAAAAACTGAAATTCAGATAATGCCTGACTTCAGTCCCGATTGGTTTGATTTTTTATACTCTTTAACTTCTACTCACCCGAATTTCCATTTATTGTCACGCAACCGCTGGATGTATACGCACGTATGTGCAACTAGACTGGCTGCCGCTTTCTGATGTTCACCTGCGTCGTTTGGAAATAAATTGATTCCGGATTCTCAAGGAACGATGTAGAGGATTTTTTTCTTTTACTGTTTTTTCTCAGTCTCTCTGTCAAAATACTGCATGCCTTTGGACGTAAACTGTGATATTGTCTCAGAAAAAAAAAGGTGAGTCCGAGGAGGATAACCATGAAGCAGACCTACTTCTATGTGGATTTCATTTTTCTCCGCACTGGAAAGGGGGAACCATATCAGCAAAAGGCTGATGTTTATTAGCTTTTAAAGCCACCATCACGACCGAGAGGGAGGATTATAGTGTCTGCTGGAGTCTGGTGAATTTACCCGCTGGATAAAGTGAAGTTCCCATTGTAGGCTAGACGACTGTATATCTTTAATCTGCTATAGAACTCGGTGTGTTGGACTCTCTGGATACGCAATAAGTGGATATCGAGCAGTTTTCAACGCGGTGAGTTTGCCCTTTCAATTATAGGCTATGCATCCCTCTTGTCACTGGTATTTCAGTTGATAAAAAACAAAACAATTCCGAGTCAAGGAGAAATATTTATGTCCAGCTGCCTGAATTCTGCTCCGTGCTTGTCCCCGGAAGGACAGATGCGTTTTTTTTTTTTGGAGGGGTTCAATCATTGCGCATTTAGGATTCGGAAATGTGTATGTTACATTTCATGTTTAGTAAGAGTCACTGCAAGTCAAATGTTGGAGCAGTAATGTGTGTGTTTAATGGCTCCATGGAGAATGAAATGGGACTAATAGCTACCTGTTGTCTCTGCTCGCTCTCATAGAGTTTGAAATTGCGCAAATATAGCTTAGGTGTTTGGTTTTGTTGAATTAGAAGAATACTGTATTGAACCCACTCCACCCACCTCATGTAGCGCTTGTTTTAACCTTTTCATCTGTTGTTAAACGTTTGAATGTTTGCACAAAGGGAATAATCCGAACCTGAACACCCCCAAACCACCACCAACACAGAACACATCAGAAGAAAACACAGACTGCTCTCTTTCCATGTTAATACAGGTTTTTGTTTTCTTCAGGAATATTGGCATTCGCCTGTTGACTCCCATTTGTCTTTGTAGATATATTTTGATGAAACTTGATTTTTTTATCTAAATGATGGCAGCAGGAGGATTGACTATACACAAGCCAGAGCCAAAATAGAATTATTTTAAATGTGAGATTTAGTGGCCAAAGGGTGTATCAGAACAGCAATTGTAAATCATCATCCGTCATATCATCTCTTATTTTCTCCACAGCCCTTTCGTCGTGTGAAGATGACTATGGTGATGGTAATTGAAGCGCAGGACGGATCCGGAGAGGATACCAGGAGCTTAGGGATGACATACACACACTTTCGTTGAATGTGGGTATCGATGCCGCGGCGAAGGATGGGAAGGATGGGCCCTCTCCTCCTCTCGGCCGCCTGCGTCCTTCTGCTTGCCCCGAGCGCCGTGCGCCCGGCCTCGGTGGGTAACCCCGAGGATTACGCCGCGGACGAGGCTGAGCGGACGGCCAGTGAAAACATCGTGTTCGATGACTACCGGGGGAAAGGATGCGTGGACGACAGTGGCTTCGTGTACAAACTCGGGGAGCGCTTCTACCCGGGACACTCGAACTGTCCGTGCGAGTGCACGGAGGACGGGCCCGTGTGCGACCAGCCCGAGTGCCCCAAACTGCACCCCAAGTGCACCAAAGTGGAGCACAATGGGTGCTGCCCCGAGTGCAAGGAGGTTAAAAACTTTTGCGAGTACAGAGGGAAAACATACAAAATCCTGGAGGAATTCAAGGTAAGATATCTGTTTCCAACCTGGATGATGCTTTTTCTTTAATTCTCAAACTCTCAATGTTTTACATGTGTATTGAAACACTTGGGTTAGATGCATACTAAGATTCAATAAAATGTGCCTTTCACATTGTCAATATGTTCTATAAATATTTACCATGACCCTGAGTGATTTTTTAAAGGCACAATGTCCAATTTATACACCTTTAAATCACGTCAAAACTCAACTTATGTTCATGAGTTTGTTGCTTCTAGGCATGTATAGTAAGACAAAGTCTGGGTGCCACTAAAGCAACCATCTTACAAGGTAGTCTGTCTGGGAGATTCGGTTGTTTCAAACCTGACAATGTTTACAAGCTAATAACAAGAGTGTCATGGGAACAGAGAGCAGCCTTAAGGAATATTAAGTACAGGAAATCAAACACCTACACCCTGTTTTGTTGTTTTGACCCATGGTGGGTTTGGGTTTGGATGATAGGAGTATATCTCAGTCCTTGGCATTCTAGAGAAGTATCATAAATATGTTTATTGGCCAAGGGCACAAACATGGCTGCCTCCCAGGGTGATGTCATCCCCCCTCCCCGAACCATCAACTGAACATTCAGCCAGCATCTCTAAAAACTGACAGATGCTATAACTATATTTTAATGCCCTTATTCATGGACATGACACAGAGTCATTGCAGGCAGATTCAGATTCCCTGCGTCGCCTGCAAAGGGAACACTGTTTTTTACCCATCAAACCAGCGTCTCAGCGGTTGTTGTAGAGCATAACAGCGCCGTCTGATTCGAAATGACACTTCCAGCATGACAACTACGGTCTGTGTTTAAACTGTTGCTGCCCATGAGGAACCCCCTCCTCATTCAAATTCATCACAAGTGGATTGGGGCTGTTAGTGATTGAGATATAATATGACACAATGGAACTAAGAAATGATATAGCTCCATGGGTTAGATTCTTGTTAATGTTGAAATATGTATTTGAAAGCAGTTAGATTTAGCTCACCCTTTACACTAGTGTTTGGAAAATGGTATAAATATCAAACTAAAGTCTTCACTACATTCAGCGCTGAAATTACTTGAATTATGAGAATATTGGACTCAAGTTGGGTTTGAATAGGTTGCCTAACATTTGAGACAAGTCAACAGACCTGGAGTTAGACCTGTGATGATCCATCATATATTTCATCTGGAGATTTGAACACTTTATTTTACTTATCCTACATGGCCTATGTATTTTTGAGAATGATGAATCCCATCAGGTGAAGAAAACATGCAGATTTCTCATCAATCCTGCATTTTGTGCAGCCAACATAAAGTAAAGGAACACTAAATAATTGTTTGTTAAGTAAGATTCATTCAGAACCAAAAGAGTCTGCACATTTTCATGCAAATCCTCTTCCGAAATATTGACATACGGTCAGCTTAATAAATACCCAACAAAACTTATAAGACTTATATGATTACTGCCACATTAAAAATGGTTCATAAGAACAAACGTGTGCCCTCAGTTTACATATTTTCTGAAAGTATCAGATATTACATTCAGGGGTTATTTCTCCAGTAGTAAAAACTTGGCTTTGATTGGTTAATCAAAGCCAAGTTTTTACGACTGGAAACTGCCAAAATGAGTCGTAACTTATACTGGCCTGTTGGTCTTTGTGCCAATGATTCAGTTAAAGCAGATTTAAAGATTTTTTTTTTTAACCACCTTAGAGTACCAGAACTAAATACAAACCAGACATATTATCACTGTGTGAATCTGTAATGGTGAATGTGTTAGCAAGCAGGTCCAGCATTATCATTTAACCATTCATAATTGTGAATCAGAACACTTCAGTCCAACATTCACACTCATCTATTGTCTATTTAATTCCTTGAGTGAGACAGTTGCATTTTAATTTTAAACTCTCTACATTCAACAAATAATTGTTAACTATGTCAGTCTGCTGTTTGGTGTTGCTTACGTAGTATAACCATTGTTTCATGAAGCTTTTCTGTATTTGCTGCTGCCGAATGCAGGTTGAAACACGATGACTCGAGAATGACAGTAAACCAAACCATTAACATTGTGGACAGTTAAACCAAAGCAATAGGCTGAAAGGTGCTAAAATGTTACACAAAGCTAAATGGAGCGACATCTATGATTATTACATGTGGGTGTGTCACATGAAGTGACCCCTTCCACATCACAATATTACATTTGACCCACTTTAGAGCATATTTATGTTGAAGTGAAGCTTTAAAGCAATGGTTCTCAACTGATGGGTCTGGACATTAAAGTGGGTCGCCAATGTGTTCCTGGGGAAAATAATTGTGTCAAATAATCTACCAGTATGAAGCTCTTTTTAAAATAAGTTTTGTTCTGTAAAATGTTTTGGACCATCTGAGGTCCAAACGGCTCTATATTTCATGAAATGAATCTCATTGGTTGAAAAATATCCAAAATGTGGTTCATGATTTCTCAATAAGGAGTAAGTGGAAGGTCCTGAGGCTAGACCAGTTGAGAACCACTGTTTTAAAGCAAGGCAAAGATAATTATTCTGGTTAAATATCAAATATGTAACAGCTAACTACAACTTGTATGAGAGGACCTTAAACTTGACCATTTTTGTTAGTATTAAAACTTAAAACTGCTGTTAATGCATGATTACAAACTCAGACCTCTTATTGGGAGCTTCATCTGAATGGAATTTGCAGCATGTGGACATTTTCACTGTCTGTCTGCAGTTTTGACTGCCATAGGTTTTATTTTTTGATTTATCAATGTTTAATTTACACTTACTGAAGATGCACTGCAGTATATTGTGTATAACAATCAAACTACATTGTTACTAAGTTAGTAATTATGAGGATCCAGTGAGTGTTTGGTGATTGTCACTTCTCTTTACCTGCCATGAAGAAGCAGAATATTTTAGTATCTGTAGCATGTTTGTTCAGGTCTGGTTTCATAATGACTTCAAGGCACGGCAAAGAAACGTCTGCAGGGGGATGTTGGAACATGTTGCACCTGTGAATATTAGCATGTCATGACACTGAAACTAATTGAAACAAGCAGGGGGGCTGCACACTGAGCAAGGTTACATAAAATGGAGACAAGGGCCATTATTAACAATTCTGCTACCGTTTATCAATATTTTTTATCCTCAGATGTCACTGTAAGACCTTTTGTCCATTGTTTTTATTTTTTATTTTCCCTGACAAATGTATATTCAGCCAAATGAGTGGGGAGTTAAATCACAGTGGACGCATTGTTGCATTCTTAGCAATGATTTCAGAACCTCTAACAGGGACCCTGAGGGATGAAACAAGTAATTGATCAACTTAATTGTCAATTGACAATTCGTACTTTTAGACATATACTTAGCAAAAATGCTCCCAGCAAGTCCCATTTCTCCCTCTCCTTTTACAATATTGCAATCTATCTATCATATTTTTATCTTATCATTTGACAAAAAAGCCTTAAGAGGATGTTACGAGGGCTTATGGAAAATCTGAAATGTGTTGCATTAATTGATTAGATGATTAAGAAAGAAATAATCAAGGCATTGACAGTTAGTAAAGCATACCTTATGCACTGGTACGTTAGGATGAAAGGAACATCGTGTTTCTGCTAATAAGGGGTATGTGGGATCAACCCATTTGAAACCCATGTACTTAATCTGTACTGATTGGTGTGTGAGCACGTCAGACAACATCAGGCTCAGTCCTGCATTGGGATGCAAGGCCACAGCTTTAAGGGCCGCAGTGAGTGCATAAGCCGCACGGTTTGATGTGAGATCAAGTCCATCAATAGTGCAGCTCCACCTCATGCTGACCTTGGCTGCAGGGCCTGGAAGGACAATTCTTCACACTTGAGGGAGAAAAAAAAACATTCATTTGTGCGTATTGATCATCTGAGTTAAAATGACTCGACAGAAAAAGAGTGGGCATTTCTGATGCACCATGATCCCCCTTCCTTTGTCTTAGGCCGCATAAGTATAAAGTCTAAAGTCTCTGTCCACATCCTGTTTGAAGGTCGAGTTTTCAGTGACGACATGAAAGCTTCGGATCCCTGTGGCGTTCAAGGAAGTCAAAGACTGTCAGGATCTCGTACACAGACCCCTGTTTAGAGATGCCGACAGGTTAACCTTTGATGTCGGCCTCATTGGCATTTCCTTTTTTGGGGAAGTGCAACATTGTGCAGACGTTGGCTTTATATTCACAAGCTGATGATGGTGCGGAAGCTGGCAGAGGCACAGAGAGCTATCCTTTAGAGATTCTGGGATGTTGAAGTTTGTTGAAATAACTGATGCTGATGAACACAACTTAGCATCGAAAGACCTTTATGAATTCTTTGGGTTGTTAATGCTGGAACACTTTGTCATGGGATAGGTCATTAATAGAGGTGTGAAGTTACAATGTAAAAGTACAAATACTTCAAATATCTGTTCTTAACTTGAGTTTTTGTTGTCGTAATTTTGGCTCTTCATCCTACATTTAAACACAAACATATTGTATATACACTCTACTTACCTGTGAGGAGTTTTTTAGCTGTTTCTAAATCAGACTCAATTTAAAACTAATGCCTCTCATTGACCAACGAAATGAAGACGAGCCATCAGCTAGAAGATTGCCTAATTCTAAATAGGTGCTTTTAATGACTGTAACCTCCACAAGCAGTAGTGGTTCTAATGAAGCAATTTGCAGCACTCAGATCAAAGAAGCATTTGCAAACATTTTTCCCAGCAATGATCACAGCTAGTAGTGCATTGTGTTGTTAAAACAAAGGAGAAGGTGATCTTTTGGTAGAGAATTCTATACACACTGTACACAGAAACTGCCAAAATTGGCACAAAATGAAAGTTACTCTCAATTGCTCTAAGACAAAAATGTGTAACTTTTCTAACTTAAAATAGTAGTTTCAGGGGCGCTGGTGGCACAGTGGTTAGTGCGCACGCCCCATGTATGGAGGCAATGGTCCTCTAGGCAGGCGGCCCAGGATCGAGTCCCACCTGTGGCTCCT